TTTTGGATAAATTTTTATATGCAAATCTTTTTTATTTGAAAATATTTTAAAAAGAGTACAAAAATAACTTGAAATATAAGATTCTTCAAATATTCCAAAAGAATCTGGATTCTTTCAAACATTTTAAAATGAGTACAAAAACTCTTTATTAAGTTTTAGACAAATATATAATTTTAAATTATAACACTCAAATGTAACATTTTAAAAAAATTTCTTAGTGTATTTTTTTCCAAACATAATACTCCAAAAAATTCTTTAATGTAACATTTCGATATAATACACAAAAAAATTTCTTAGTGTATTTTTTTTTAAACATAACACTATAATGTCACGCTCCAAAAAAAAGGATGTGAAATTTTTCAAATCATTTCAAAAGAAATAAAAAAAATTCCTTAGTAAGTTTTGGACAAATGTATAATTTGAAACTATATGTATTATGTTTGAAAAAAGTATATTAAGAAGTTTTTTAATATTTTTGTATGTGTTATATTGAAGTGTTATGTTTGAGATTACAGTAATTGAAGTGTTACGTTTGAAAAAAATACGTTAAAAAGTTTTTTTATATATTATATTGGAGTGTTATATTGTTATGTTTAGAAAAAATATATGCTAAGAAATTCTTTAGTGTGTTACATTGGAATGTTACAATATTAGATTGTTAAGTTTTTTTTTTTTTTCATAATGTGGACTTTGTTCTAGAGAGAAAATTCAAAACCTCTATAATACGGATTGTCTAAATGTATAATTTCACATTTAGAGAAATCTATTTTTATCTTTCAAAAATTAAACTCAAACGTGTAAGTAATTATCATTTCATATAATTTTCACTTTAATATAACTTTTAGGTATATAATCACATTTTAAAATTTATTGGTACTTCACTTAAAATTTTAAAAAATTAACCTTAAATAACAATATTCTTTCTATATATAAACATACAAATTTGATGAGAGAACAAAAAGACAAAATTTAATCGAACAGACAAAAAGTTTGAAATATGGAGATGGCTAGGGGTATAAATTTGGCCCGGCTTGACCCATGTCGGTTTTCGAGGGCTCCCGTCAAAATTCGGACAGGGCCGGCCTGACCCGGCCCACGGCTAGAAAATTAGGCCTAGGCCTATGGGGTATTTGGGCATTGGGCGGGCCGGGGCCTGGCCTCGGACTTAGGTGGAGCTTGGGCAGGCTTGAACTTTTTATTTTATTTTATTTTATTTATTTTTTTATCAAAATTTTATTATTTTTCATTAAAAAAGACATTAGGCCTCGGGCCAGCGCCTTAAGTGGGCCGGGATTCAAAATGGTGGCCCAGGCCCAAGCTCAGGGTCTCAGGCTAAACTTGGACTCGGACCCAAACAGGTTGGGCCCACCCTGGGCCACAAGCGAGCTTCAGATTGTTCACGGGCTATTTTTACACTCCTATGACAATAATGACCAATTTAAAGCTATTTTCAATATTCTTTCTAGCCTAATAACGAGATTTAGCACCCTGATCGTCATACTATTATATTAGAATAATACTACATATATCAATTAATATATTAATTAATGTATTAATAAATGATATAATATAATATTAGAGGTTTTAAATATTTATAATTTAGGACGAATTACACTAACGGCCCATATACTTTGAGTTTTGTATCACTTTGGTCCCTGACTTTTCAATTGTGACACATTTGACCCTGAATTTTGAACCATTGCTCAATTTCAAAATTTGATAAAATATAAACTCATTTGACAAAAATAAATATCAAAAAAATATTTTTGAATTTTTAAAAATTATTTCTACCCACTAAAGACAAAATTATGTAAAATTAATAAATCTTTTAGACATTTATTTAATTATTTTTTACCAAATTAATTTTTATTATGTGTTTGGATGATAATCATGTAATGGATGGTTATTTTTATTTTTTCAAAAGTCAAATATGACGACAACTTTGATATCATTATTAAATCAATCCATTAAATCAAAAAATCCAAAACTAAAAACATTTCACATATTAAATATATCGATTATACATTAAAAGCCTAACAACCACATATTACATAATCATCATCTAAGCACATAATAAAAATTAATTTGGTAAAAAAATAAATGTCCAAAAGAATTATCAATTTTACATAATTTTATCTTCGGTAGATAGAAATTATTTTTAAAAATTTAAAAATATTTTTTTGACATTTATTTTCGTCAAATTAATAATGATTTAGTTTATATTTTATCAAATTGACGATTTTACCTTTGAAATTGAGCAATGGTATCTTCAATTATCCTTATTTGGAACAATATTCAAAATTTAGAATCAAATATGTCACAATTGAAAAGTCAGGGACCAAAGTAATATAACCCTCAAACAATAAGGACTGTTAATGTAATTCTATAATTTATATAATTAGTGAGATCATAATTTAAAATAATAATATAATAATATATATTTATATACCAATTAATATATTAATGGATATACCTAACACCATCGATTGTATTGTGTTTGGTGATTAACTTTTGGTGAATATGTTAGGTAGAGGTCCTCACCAAGGGTGATGGGTTAGTAGGTCAGAGCTCTCTTTCACTGACTTTTGGTTAATAACTAGTTGCATTTAATTCTGTTCTCGATTTCTACCTATAAATTTTGGTGGGATTGAGGTCAAACTTTAAAAAAAAATGCTATAGTTTGGTCACCATTTATGTACCTTTATGTACCTTTATTTTAAAAATCAAATATTAGGTGTTTTTAGCTATATTGAGATCTCCTTTAGAAATAAATTATTTTAATATTTTTTTAATTTTTTATAAAAAAATATCTAGAAAGTAGAGAGAGTTATATGATAATTTATAGTGATTTTTTAACTTTTTAATTAAAATTGAAGATTTCCAAAAATATAAAGAAGCTCACAATTTTTTGTTCACAAATTAAAATCATTATTAGTTCTGTAAAATATACTAGTAGTATCTATTTTCCTGTTATAATTTTTATTATTTTTTTGAAAGTGAAATATTATTCAAATTTGATATCTCAATTTATCGCCACGGTATTATTAGAGGTGAAGCTAGTTGCAAAACATTCTCTTTGTCACCTACCATCAAGTTGATCTGTTTGATCATCAAAAATTTTATTTGTTTTTCTTTTCTTTTTTTATTTTTATTTTTATTTTTATTATTGAGAAATCAAAACTTCAAAATCCATCAAATTTTCTTCATTGGGTGTGATAGACAACCGAAGTAGCTAACTCATTCGGCCAAGCCCATCATATATCAGGAAGTCATTTGGTGGTCCTGAAACATGGTTAGGTGATGCCCATGATTGGTAAAAGAAGTGGACTCTACAATTTAGTAGAAAATGAGGAGAGAAGTATGAGACATTATATTTAGGTGTGTTTGATTGAACGGACTGGATAAGGGGGATTAGAATCCATCGAACTTGAGTCCTGAGACTGTGAATCCCCCGGACTTAGACAACCGAAGTAGCTAACTCATTCGGCCAAGCCCATCATATATCAGGAAGTCATTTGGTGGTCCTGAAACATGGTTAGGTGATGCCCATGATTGGTAAAAGAAGTGGACTCTACAATTTAGTAGAAAATGAGGAGAGAAGTATGAGACATTATATTTAAGTGTGTTTGATTGAACGGACTGGATAAGGGGGATTAGAATCCATCGAACTTGAGTCCTGAGACTGTGAATCTCCCGGACTATTTGGTTGGATTGGATATGTATTCTGTGTTTGTTTTTTCATGGGATTAGATGTCTAGAAATGACTATTTTTAGTGAATCTAATATTTGGTTGGACGGACTGGATAGTAGGGGTGTCCGTGGTTCGGTTTGGGACGGTTTGCAGTTCGGTTTGGACCCGTCCACATCTATGCGGTTTGGAAAAAAGTCAACCCGCAACCACTCGCAATGCGGTTTGCGGTTTGTGCGGATAGGGTTCGCGAATGTGCGAGCGATTGAGGGCGGTTTGTGGATTGAACTTTTTTTTTAAAAGTTTATTTTTAAACCTTTTTTTTTTCTCCCATTTTGTCAATCTTTATTTTGGACCTTTTTCCTCATATTTTCTAAAATGCTCCAACATTAATAATTAATGAATTAAAACTTATAAAAAAAAACACAACAAATTCAATTCGTAACCTAAACAAATCATTCAAAATCTACATTCATCATTAACTTGCATTCATCCTACATTCATCATTCAAAATATAACAGATTACAGATTCAACTTCAATAACAGATTCAGAGAGAGAGATTCAATTTCCACTTCAAAATAACAACTTCAATAACAGATTACAGATTATCAAAATAACAGATTGCAGATTCAACTTCAATAACAACTTCAATAGCAATTTCAATAATATTACATATTCAATTTCCACTTTTCAGATGCAATTCCAACATTACAGCAACTTCAATAGCAATTTCAATAATATTACATATTCAATTTCCACTTTTCAGATGCAATTCCAACATTACAGATTCAGTTTCCAATACCACAGATGCAATTCCAAAAATAGATTTGTTGGTCAAAAAAAAAATCAGATTTATTTCCAAGAAACACATAGATTCAATTTCCTTCCACTTCTCACAGATTCAACAACAAATTTAAGTCAAATACCACAGATTCAATTCCAAAAAAAAAAAAAAAAAAAAAAAAACAAAGCGAGAGATCTGTTTGCATGTATTAAAGACAAATTCAATTTCCACTTCTTAGATTTGTTGGTCCAAAAAAAAAAAATTAGATTTATTTCCAAGAAACACATAGATTCAATTTCCTTCCACTTCTCACAGATTCAACAACAAATTTAATTCTAATACCACAGATTCAATTCCAAAAAAAAAAAAAAACGGTGCAGATGCAAAACTAGAGAGTGAGACTGATAAGATGAGAGAGTGAGGGAGACAGATCAGAGAGATATCTGATATATATATTTTGTAAAAAAAACTCAAAGATCAGGGTGAGAGAGAGAGAGAGAGAGAGAGAGAGAGAGAGAGAGGCTTACCTGTGAGTCGATCGGTGCAGATGCAAAACTAGAGAGTGAGACTGATAAGATGAGAGAGTGAGGGAGACAGATCAGAGAGATATCTGATATATATATTTTGTAAAAAAAACTCAAAGATCAGGGTGAGAGAGAGAGAGAGAGACAAAGACTGAGAGAGAGAGAGGCTTACCTGTGAGTCGATCGGTGTGATGAGAGAGTGAGACGATCGGTGCAGAAGATGAACAGCGAGAGTAAGAGAGACAATGACGAGATGAGAGAGTGAGGGAGAGAGAATCGTGTTTTTGAGTTTGAGAGGTAGATAAATCATTAGGGTTTTGTTTTGTTTTGTTTGTTATAGATGAGGTGCGTGAGGTGAGATGGTGAGATGAACGGTCAGATTAGAAAGAGGGGAAAAAAAATGTTTTAATGTGGGCGGGTTGGGCGGGTGCGGTTCAAACCTGCAACCCGCCCGCAATCCGAAACTTATATAAAATCCAAACCGCTCCCTACCCTAATGTGTTTGCGAAACCGCCCACACGCGTGCGGTTCGGATCGGGTATGGCGATTTGGGCGGGTCGGATAACCCTATGCCCAGCCCTAGATAAGATAAATGAACAAAATACTATTTTACCATTTTTTCAATTATTTACTAAGTAATAACAATATTAAACATATCTTTAATATTTTAATTATTTTTAGCTAGATTAAATAAAAATTTATTTTATTTTATTTTTTACACAATTAAATAAATTTATTTTTTTAAAATAAAATATCAATAAAAATATATGTTATTTTTTAATTAAAATTTTAAATGAATTTGTTTTTAAAAATAATAATAATTAAACAATGAAATTAAATAAAACATCTATTATCATTTAAATAATGAAATTAAATAAAATATAAACAAAATTTTAAAATAAAATATCAATAAAATATCTATAAAAAATTATTTTAAAAAATTAAATAACTAAAACATCAATAAAAAGTTAAATAAAATTATTTTATTTTTAAATTGAGACATTTAAATTTTATTGAATTTTACTAAATATAATACATAATGAAATAGTAGAGGGTCAAAATGGTCATTTTACCACCTAATCCCAACAGTTAGGGATGTAATCGGTTCGGTACGGTCGGTATTTAGGTAAAAAATTACACCGAACCGATACTGTCGGTTTTATTATTTTGAACACCGATGCAGACCACTTCTCCCATCAAACTGCACCGAACCAAAACCGATTGAAACGGTTCGATTTGGTGCGGTTTAATCGGTTTATGATTTTTCAAACTTGAGCCACTTTTAAATATAATCATTAATTCATATAAAAATATTAAATTAGTTATTGTTTACTATTCAAACATATCCAATCCATTCATTTAATACCTACTTTTCAATTCCTAAATTAACAAAAATAAAAAGAAAAAAAAAGTATGAAAATACTAAGGTTCAAAGAATAATGAGTTAGAGTTAAGATTTTATATAATAAGAGTTTACAAAATTAGGTTATAAAGATGATAAGATTAATTAATTAAGGTTAGTAATTTAGTATACTTATTAATATCATTATATAATTATATATATATATATATATTATAAATATAATATATATTGAAGCGGTTGGTTTCGGTTTAAATCGGTGCACAAGGTGCTTAAACTGATACCGAACTGAAAAAAAAAAAATCAAATTTAAAAATCGCACAAACCGATTCTTGTTAAAAAACAGACCAAATATGGCCGATTTGGTCCGGTTCAATCGGTTTGGTCGGTTTTTGCGATTTTTCTTACATCCCTACCAACAGTAAACAATTCCTCCAAAACTGTCCCACACCCCCCCTACCGGGATAGTATAATCCCCTATATGAGGGATAAGAAGTCCGGCGGATTAAACCAAAAACAAACGATGGACTACTCACTCCTTCGGATAAGCAATCCGAATAGTGAATAGTCCCCCCCTAATCCCTCCAATCAAAGTGATTGGTGAGATTATTGACATGTGGTGCTCCAAGATTATCTAATAATTTATTTTTACCTATTTTATTAGAATAGTAGAGATTGTATTCATTCTATGTGGATGTGAATCTGAATTTTTTTTTTAAAAATATATACATTTATTTGAAATTTCTTCTTGTCTTATTTGAGTGATTATTGAGTTTGTTATAGGTTTGATAATATGTGGTTAAACTTTATTACATAGTTGATTAATATTCAAAATCTCAAGACCGGCCCTAAGCATGTTGAAAGAAGGTTCCCCCACTTTACGACCCTTAAAAATTTAACATTTTATACTAGGTTGAAAGAAATTTTGTTTACTTATTAAACTTCAAGTAAAAAAGGGTCTAATTCAAAATAAAAAGTCCAATACTACTGTCGATCGCATCAGTTACATTTGCTTCTCCGAATTGAAAATTTTCAAAGGCAAATTGATTAAATCTTATACTCGTTCAACTAATAGTTAAAAGTATTAGGAGAATAATATTTAAGTGATATATTCTTTTACAATTTATTTAATTTTTATTTAGTATAATAATTTTAAATTGTTTTAGTATTTTTTTTCTCTATTATAAATTTAATTTTGCTATCTATATAACTAAATTTCAGTACGTAATTTAGTAATTATATATGAATGCAATTTTTATTCTTTTGAATATATGAAAGGTCTCATATTAATTTGCATAACACTCCCCTAAAGCTCAAGTCCACAGTACCGAATCTCGTCACACGTGGAGAGTATTTACGCTGTGTTGGTTGCGAAATTTTGGAAGGAATTTAGAGAGGAAAAGAGAAAAAATATATAAAATTAGATAAAATATATATATATTTTATTTATATTTCACCTATCTTTTTTATTTTTCTTTTCAAATCCCTCCTCAAATTCTCCCAACCAAACACAGAATTAGAGTAGTGCATTTAAGGCAAAAACAGTTATAAAAAAAAAAAAAAATCAAATAAGGAATAAATTTAGTAGGGTAAATTATTTATAAAGCCTATTTTGAAGACTTATATAAGATATGGTCCTATGAAAATAACTTATAATCTAATAGGTCTTGTGATTTTCTTGTAGACACAACTACTCCCAATCTTAATTAATTACTAACCTGATTAATAATAATACTATATATGGGAAATTCAGGTTGCGTTTGGTAAATTTTTCTAAATATGATTTGAGAATAGAATTGTATTTTGAGTTTGTAGGTTTTGGAATTATAATTTGAGTGTGAAAAATTTGTTTGGTGAATAAGTTTTGAAAAGAGTTTTGAATTGAGTAAGAAATTTTTGATGTGGCATATGATATTTAATACAAAAACTTACAATTTATAACCAAACACACAACTCAAAATTCTATTCAAAGCTCATACAAATTTTTAAAAAAATTTCAAATTTTTTTTTATTTAAAATATAAAAAATAACAAGTGGCATTTGTAAAAAATAAATAAATAAATAAATGCACTGTTCCGATCAACCGACCAGACATTTAGGAGGATGACCGGTTAACCCAAATTTTTCTGCCTTGGACAAAGTTTTCAAAAGTGAGTGTGAAATTAATTTTTAAAAACTGTAAACAAACACCACACTCAAATGTAATGGTAAAATAAAGTTTAGAGAGCTCTACCAAACAGAGCCTCAATATTACCATAGATTGTGATTATGTCTATATGATTAGAAATTAGAAATTCAAAATAATCTAATTAATGGCAATACCATACATGAGAAATCCAATGTTACCATATATTGTGATCATGTCCATATGATTAGAAATTTGAAATTCAAAATAACCTAATAAATGGTAATACCATATATAGGAAATCCAATATTACCATAGATTGTCATCATATCTATATAGTCGGAAATTTTAAATTCAAAACGTAAATGTAACATGTAATATCCCAAACCCAATATGACATTCTCAAACCCAACGTGACATTCTCAAACCCAATGTGACATTCCCATATGCTTCTGAAATTCAAAATAACTTGATTAATGAAAATACCATATATAGGAAATCCAATATTGCCATAGGTTGTGGTTATATCTATATGGTTGAAAATTTGAAATTCAAAACCTAAATATAATGTGTAACATCGCAAACCCAATGTGACATTCCCAAACCCGACGTGACATTCTCATATATTTCTCATCCCAAACCCAACGTGACATTCCAATACTCCACCATTGAATTATGAATAATGTAATCTCCTAAATGTAACATGTAACATCCCAACCCAACCTATGTCTTGAACCACCATCACCCCTAATCCAGTGTAACTTCAACGTCGAGCGATGAGACTTAATCCACATTCAATTACAAACCTAAATCCCCAATAATTTTGCGCAACGTACTGTGACATGTATGTAAACACCGATTACAATAAAGACATGATACACATTCAAACACATATACAACCGAACAAACACACAAATGTCATCTATTACATGGCGCATGTGGATTAACGTTACATACTAAATGCATCATGCATCGTAACACGATCATTCAGGTTCCAATGTACAATTGTTATCCTACAACGTGGTTCACATTCGACATCCAATTAACAACCAAAACCAAATACCCTCAACCCACCCCTTGAACCCATACACACCACTCCACACATCGAACATATCAAAGCACATTAACCATCACAATGTCAAATACACACATTTAATCAGAACAATGGCCAAAGTGTCCCTATCAATGAGTGTAATAGATTGTCAATGTCCTATTAAAGATGAACAATCCACACTTCAAACAAATAGCAACACACTTTAAAAAAAAAAAAAAAAAAAAAAACATATTTCTTCTCCTCAACTGATTGGAGTCGAAATTTGTCGAAAGAATTAACATGCAACTCTCAAACTTCATCAAATCATCCACCATATCCACATCCATTTAAACAACATTTTAAAAATGCACTGGAATCCAGCAATCAAATAAAATTAAAAAAAAAAACTCGCATGATTGTTGCTTGTAGACTTAATTATTTATAAGTCTAATTTAGAAGACTTATTTATTATGAAATCTTATGAATGCTTTTGTTAGGTTTTATTTCTTGGCAATCCCGTTTGACAAAACTCCTTTGAGTTGTAATTTTATTCGCATTTTTATTTCAGTGAGGCTATGAGCACGTAAAATCGTTGTGTTTCTTTGTCTTGATTGTTTGATTGGGATTGTTATATTCTGCTTAAAATTGTTACATAATCACAAATCAACATCTAGGGGATTCCTAGATTTTTCAGCTTTTTTAGAGTTTGAAATCCTATTTAAATAGGAATGTGTTCCATAAGGTTCTATGAGTTGTAAATGAATGATATTAGTGTAATATTATACTCCTAATTTGTTTCCATATTGTACCA